TAAAGAAATAAGAGTTCATGTTGCTTTTAAAATATTTCACCAATTTCTCTAAAGGAAACACTATCTACAGATTTGCATCGAAGCGTTTCTTATGATAGTGATTTTAATCACTGTCAGATATCATCTATACTTATCTCATCTATGCCACGTCTATACTGTGCCTCGACCCCACTGTGCTACCGTTTTTTTTATTTCACTTGGTAGAACTGTGACATCTGTGCCATCTACCAGGTATCTTGGTGCAAACCCTGTAACTGAATGCTCTGTATCATTATAATTATTCACACATTCTTGCGCTATTGTTGTCCAGGCTACTTTTTTTTTTCTCTCATTGATTTTACATCTGATTTTGTTCACCAGCGTTTGATTAAGTCTTTCATTTATTCCATTTGAGAAAGGCGCATTTATTGCAGTAAAAACAATTGGTATTGATTTCTTTTTTAAAAAATTTTTGAATTCATTTGAATTAATCCCAGGGTATTGATCAGTGAGAAGCATCCCAATTTTCTCTGTCTTTGCTATATTGTTGATTAGTTTTATAAAATCATTAGCATTTTGTGTTTTTGATGTTAAAATGAATGCAAATCTTGTAAAGTGATCAACTAGAAGGTGTAGATATTTTTTTGTTGATCTTGAACCACCAAATCCTCCAATTGTATCTATTGAGATTATTTCAAAAGGCTTTGTAGCTGGACCAAGATGAGACATTAAACCAAATTTGTCTTTTCCCCTTGATTTATTTTTAATACATATTTCACAGTTTTTACAAAAATATTTTATATTTTTTATCAAATTCTTCGCTGTGTATAGTGGACTAATCTAGTCAATAGTGACACAGGTTTTCATGTATTTTTTTTATAAGCTTTACACTGAACTCTTCTGATAGTATAATTTTTTCCTTATTTTTTACTTTCTTAAAATATACATTGTTTTTTTTATGATATGATTTTTTTTTATTTTTACTTCTTCATTTACTTCTTGGTCTGTCAGGATTTCATCTAAACTTATTAAGTTTACAATTTTTAATTGCTCTTTTAAATTTTCATTTGACTCCAATGCTGGATTTCTACTTAGACAATCTGCTTCTAAATTTTTCTTTCCTGGAGTATATTTTATTTGAAAGTCATATTGTGACAGGTAGTAAGTCAAATCTCCAAGCTCTTCGTCAGGTCTAGATTTTATGTTCATATTTTCCAATGGTTTGTGATCCGAGTATACAGTAAATGATTTTCCTATTAGCCAATATTGCCAGTATCTTATTGCTTCCTTTATAGCTAAATCCTCCAAGTATGTTGCTTTTTTTCTTTTTTGGACTTCATTTAGTTTCTTTGAAAAGTATGCCACTGGTTTTTCTTTCCTATTTGGTTGCATTTGTTTTAATATTGCTCCAATACCTTCCAAAGATACATCTGTGTAAATATTGATTGGCAATTCTTGATCAAAAATTTCTAGGACTGGTTGTGAGCACAGAACATTTTTGATATAGTCAAATGTTTTTTGACACTCTACAGACCAGATAAATCTTTGATTTTTCCTAAGTAAATTATGCAGTGGCTCTAGGATTATTGCACTATTTTGTATATAATCATGGTAAAAATTTATCTTTCCCAGAAATTGCCTTATATTCTTTTGAGTTTTTGGAACAGGAAAATTTTTTATTGAAATTAAATTATCTTTTATAGGTTTGATAGAATTATTGTTTATTATGTGACCAAGATATTTCACTGAGTTTTCTGCAATTTGTGCATTTTTTGAACTTTAACCTGAAGCCTTCTTTTTTTATTGCCTCTAACAACTGTGTTATATGATCCATGTGTTCAGGAAAAGATTTAGAAAATATAAAAATATCGTCTATATAGTTTACAGCAAAATCTGTAAGTTTATAATTCCTTAATATGTTACTTAGTATTCTCTGAAAAATTGTAGGTGAGGTTTTTAGGCCAAAAGGTAAGCAGGTCCATTGAAAATGTCCCTCCTGTGTGACAAAAGCAGTCTTCTTCCTATCTTCAATTCGCAGAGGGATTGACCAAAAAGCAGAATTTATATCCAATATGGAGAATAATTTACAATTTCTTGTCTTTATCATTAAGTCATCAATCAGTGGGAATGGTTGAGCTTGAGGTATAACTATTTTGTTCAAGTCCCTGAAATCTATACATTGCCTGGATCTTTTGTTATCTTCTTTTTTAAATGCTAAGGTTACTGGTGCAGCAAATGGACTGTAGGATTCTTCAATGAGTTTATTATCTAATAATTTTGATATTTGTTCTTCTATTTCCTTTTTATCTTCTACCGTGCATCTATAAGGTCTTTTACTACAATATTTGTCGACTAATAAGTCAATATGTGCCTCACATTTTTTTACTGTACCAATATCATATTTGTCCTTTGCAAAAATTGATTTATATTTGTCAATCAGTTTATTTATTTCAGATTTTTGATTTTTTGTTAAGTGATCTATATTTATTTGAAAATCCTTTTGTTTTATGTGTTCATTAAAATTAATTGTGTAGTTTTCTTGATTATTTTTCATTTCATTGTCTAACAATGAACCGTCTTTATATTTGTATACTAACGCATATGTGACTGGAATCCACCCTTTGTTTTTAAATGTGTCACAAAAATATTCTTTCCATATTTTCCAATCAGAGTCTCTGGTCAGTTTTATAAGCATAGAGCTGTACCAATAAGAGCAAGATTTATCTAAAAACAATCTGAGAATTTCAATTTTTTGCTCATCTTTCATTACATCATGACGGGTACATTCCATTTCAAAAATGTCTATCCATTGGTTTACATTTGTATTCTTGCTTGTGAATTTTTCAAGTACAAACTATTATATATAAATATTAATCGCTCCATATAGTATTTTTTGAGTTTGTATATTATTACTTTACGTTCATTGTGATTTATTTTGCCACTCTCTCCAATATCCTCAAGTCATCAAGTCATCAGATAAGCTATTAATTTATTATCATTTTGTTATTTTATCATATCATAAGATTAAATATTGTTTTAGTATGTAAGTTATCCCCCCTCCCCCTTTACTTTTAAGAGCTTTACTTGCAGAACTACAAATATATAATTCATAATTTATACATTCATAAGCAGGTGTACCTATTTATTACCCCCTCTTATTTCCGCATTTTGATTGCTACAAAATAAACTAACCTAATAACCTAATAAAGGCGTTATTTAAAATATGTACAATAAGTCGATTTTATCATATAATTAGCTGGTTATTTTGCATTTTAAGTAAGGGAACCCTGCTTCGTTGATCATGTATATTCATAATATGTGAAATACATGTTCAAATGACAATATCATATTATATGTTAATACTATAAGTGATAATATAAAAAATATAGTAATCATTTCTAAGTAACTTAGTATTTAGAACTTGGTGTTTAAAAATATTCTACAATTGAAATATTCAGAACTTGATTAGTTTTAATGATTTTCTTTAACTAAAAAACCAATCAAAAAGCTATTAAAAAATAAAACTCAAATGAATACATTATAAACTTTGATTGTAATTAGAAAAATCCATTGTTAAATTTAAGGGAAACCAAAAATCGTTTTTTTAGAAATGATTTGTACAATAACATGTTGCCAAAAATTTTTAAATAATATAGACTGGTAGTAGTACACACAAATAGAATAAAGTTCAAAGTAAAATTGTTTAATTTTGTTGTTGATACATTTTATTGTAAATCAACAATAAATACTTTAAAAACATTAAAATGAATGATTTTAATTTTAACTAGATAAAAATTGTAATAACTTCAGGTATGATTGAAAAAGATAGGTCAAATGAGAGCTGATAAAATAAATGACAGCCAAAAAAAACCACATAGTAAAATAATTTTAATACCAATATGAAATTTCCTCTTGCAAGGAGAGATTACAGTGATGCGGTCCTTAATATACATCGAAGTTATTGAATCTAAATAGGGGTTCAAACCTTGTACTCAAAGTGTGAAAAACATGAATTTTACCAACTACGGAACTCCTACGTGCCGTAAATGCCTCAAATGCGACATTTGATGATTGACAAAAATGGCAAGTTATTCTAGTTCAATTATAAAGTTGTTTTTCTTAATTTAAAAAAATTAAACAAACTTATATTCTATGTAAATTAGATTTATATAGTATATATTAGTGTTCTCCTCTTGTAAGGTATTTTAAAATAAAATAAAATACAAATTGAGATTTGAGAATTTTAACACAAAAATAGCAAATTTATAAATACGTTAGCCATTATTACTATGAAGACAAACTAAAGTTCGACATTTTTTTTTCATATTAAAGTATATTTCATTGATAAAGTAGATTTTTCAATTTTTGAGGGTACGATATATATATTAAAGTGTCAGTATTTCCGGAACATTTTCAAAAATTAATTTTTACTACTACAATTTGTGAACTACCTGTAAGGACGGGTTAAAGGTTCTGACTTGCTGTAGAAGCGTAAGGTCATTAAGCCCCAGTAGAGCACCAACTAAGGGGAGCTTAGTACTTAAATTATATCTGACTATCATAAAAATAATATATAATTAATTAGATAGTTGCTGAATAAAAAAATATATCATTAATTCAATTGAAAAGGTTTTTAATAGAAGATATAAGTTTACTAAAACACTAAATTGTTAGTAATAAATCAATAAGTGCACACACGTTTAGATTTTTAAATTCTTTTTCAATATAGTTTTATTTTTTAATATAAGCATAAAACATATTTTATTTACACGTTATGTTTTTTTAATAATCTAATAATATAATCACTTAATAGCTCTATCAACGATTTCTATTAATATAATCAAATATGAATGGGATAAATCAAAGTTAAAAATAAAATTAAGTAAAATTAATATAAAAGTGTTCGTAAAAGCTAAATTGTCATTTATAATTCAAATAAACAAGATTTGTTTTAAAATATTTTCTTATAAAACTTCAATATATAGTATTAAGTTTTTAGAAAACTAAAAAAATGATTAAAAATCGTTTTCATGCATTGAACACGATAAGGTGTTTTTTCGTTATTCTTATATCAGCACAAATATTTTTCAACACAAATGCTAGCCCAGAAATACAAGTAAGTGCAAATAATATTCCAAATTATTCAACATATAAGAATTCTAAAATGATATGAGTTCATTCGAACCACGGAACATGCAGACATGAATAAAAATATTTTCTGTATAAAAATGGGCAATAATAAAAATATTAATGAACCAGAAATCATTTTCAAATGTTAACCAAATTCCTTTTATGTGTACTATGTGTTCTAGTATGAAATTTGGGAAAAAGTTATAAATAAGGGAATAAGAAATGAGAATTCATTATCTAAAAACCAGTTTAGATTTGTACCTGGTAACTCAACAATGGAGCCATAATGTTATATGAGGCAACTAATAGTAAAGTTTAGGGATAAGAAGAAAAAGCTGTATATGGTATTTATAGATTTGGAGATAGCGTATGATAGAGTACCGAGAAAGGTTTTAAAGTGCGCATTAATGAGGAAAAAAGTCCCGAAAAAATATATTAATATAATAGAAGATATGTATGATGACACTTGTGTCAGGGTAAAAAGCGTAGGAAGAGTAACAGAATGTATTAGGATAAAGTAGGAGTGCATCATGATTCTGCTTTAAGCCCTTACTTATTTTCTATAGTGATGGATGAAATTATGGAAAGGCGTCGTGGTGCATGTGGTTCTCTGACGATATTGTGTTAATAGGAGAAAATAGAAAGAAAATTAATCAAAGGCTAGAAAGGATATTGACGAGAATTTAAGATACAGGATTAAATGCGGGTAGTTAAAGTCGAAAGAAGCGTCTGGTGTGCTATGCGATAAAAAATTCCAATGAGGTTGAAAGGTAGATTTTATAAAACTATAGTAAGACCAGCTATGATGTATAATTCAGAGTGTTGGTTGGTAGAGTAGGAAATGAGTGTAGCAGAGATGAGAATGCTTAGATGGATGAGTGGAGTGACTAGAGAAGATAGGATAAGGAACGAACATATAAGAGATACTTCTTCTTACGTAGCGTTAATCGTAAATAAGATGAGAGAAAATAGACTTAGATGGTTTGATCTTGTAATGAGGAGAGAGGAATCGGAAGCTGTAAGAACAGTTATAGAAATGAATGTTGAAGGAAAAATAGGTAGAGGAAGGCCAAAAAAGGGATAGAGGGATATAATTGAATATGAGGAAGGCTGATGTGAGTAATCGTGTCAAGTGGAAGGTGGCTGACCCGAAGTAGTTGGAATTAAAGCGAGGAAAAAGAAGAAGAAAAAGAAAGGTGGATGTAGATCATGATCTAAACAAATCGTTGGATACCAACGATTTAAAATCTATTTAATGTTTCTTGTAAGTTAATTTAATTATTTTTAATATCTTGAATAGATAAAGAAATAGAAAACAAATTTTGAAATGAAGAGTGGTCTAATTTACTATACCTTCCTTAATCCATTTCAGATATTTATCACTCTTAGGTTCATTATACCACTACAAAAAGAGGGTAGCAAAGTGGTGACGTGGCATGGTGGGACAAGTATAGATGATATCTCACAGTGATTAAAATCAATATCATAAGAAACGCTTCAATGCAAATCTGTACACCCAGAGAAAAACCTCGATCTATATAATAAATTCATTGTTCAATTAGATAAATATATCATTACTATTGAATCAATGATATATTTATCAATATGATATTTTTTTTTCTTGTCTTGAACAATAATTATTTATAAGAATAGTTATTTTGTTCGTATTAATAAAACATTATCATAAACCCTTGATAAAATTTCTCTTTCAATTTTGATTGAGGTTTTTCTTTGGGTGTAGATAGTGTTTAATTTTAAGAAATTGGTGGATAATTACAAAAGTAACATCCAGTATTGTTCTATTTCGACTGCCATTTTCAAATAGAAAATAGGTCCTCGGATCAATTTTTTTTTTTTAACTTCTAGTACATAAAATTAGCTTTATTTTAACATATATTTATAAGACACAGTATTCTTGGAACATTTTCAAAAATTAAGTTAAAAAGTTCTACTTTTTACACAAATTTTCATGTTTTTAAAAAGCTATTTTTTACTTTAAAGAGGCAAAATAATCAAAATAAGTATAATTATATATATAATGTAAGTTAGATTCATGTGAATTTTATATTTATTGGTGGACTCATTACTATGGTTAACTCTTATAAGGTATTTTAAAATAATCAAACAAAAATAAAATTTGAACACAAAAAAGCATGTTTTTTAACTACAGCGGCCATTTGCACAAAAAGAGAGCTCGTCGGGACAATTTTTTTTTTAATTTATAGTACGTAACATATGCATATTTGACATATGTTTTAAGGACACAATATTTCCGGAACATTTTTAAAACTTAAGTTGAATAAGTTGAATTTTGTAAAAAAGGTGCTATTTCGAATCCCTTCCTGTAGGAAGGTAAAGGATGAGATTATCATAAAATTTATATCAAATGATAAGGAAATGTAAGGTGGTTCATTTTTCAAAAAGTTATGCCAGTTTTAAATATCAAAATAACATTGAATTTTTACACGAAAATTACATTTTTCAAAAAGTTATAGCAATTTAAAAATGAAAATTTTAACAAAAAAATAGCCTTTTTTTAACTACGACAGTCGTTTTTTTTATAGAAGATAAGATTTTTTTAATGCGATAATTTTTTAATAAGTTATGGCAATTTTTAGAAAAAAAACTGAAAAAATATCGAAATTTATCGATTTTAAAAATTGTAATTTTTTGGAAGATTTTCATCATTTACGGGGAACGAGGGAAAAATTTTTAAGGTTAATTTCTTCAACAAGATATGATTTATGATCTTTTGACGTATCATTCAGTGTCAATCCAGTGAGAGCTGAAAAAAATTAGAGATGGACACAAAAATAAACACAACATGGTAAAATTAATATTATATTATATTAATATTATTATAATATTAATACTATATTATCTTCGTATCGAAGCTAATATAGTCATAAAAAACCAATTTTTTTTTTGGACTACGGTTAAGTCTCATTTCTTGTCAATAATATGAAATAAATTCTACATCAAGAACTTTTTGTTAATTGTGTGAATACAAAAGAAACCAAAGATAAAGTTATCAATGACTGTCTGTGGGAAAATGGGATGTTTTTTTATTAATTTTCCGAAAAAACGTTTTTTTTACTCAGATCACTTACACATGCCTCATTTTAGATAAAACTTAAAGTTTAAAATTTGGGCTATTTGTTTTATTATCATTATTTTTATTCTTTGTCAATAATTTACAATTTTATTTCAGCCACCAAATTATGATACAATATTTGACGATTCATTTTTACAAGTTGTAAGTACTATTAATAATGATATCAAATTATTAGTCTATGGAAAAAATAAAAGATTTATTAATCATTCGCTTATAAATAAAGATGACATAAAGTTGTTATCAAGATCTTGTAAAGATAATTATGAGTGTAGACAAAAAAAAGAGTCAAGCTTAAACAAATTAAAAAAAGAATTAGAATCATTAGAGTGTTTTCATACATTTCTATGTCTTCAAATTTTAGAATTATTAAAAGAGACAAGAAATTTAAATCCAAATCATATTACTAGAATAAAATATCAATATGTAACTATATTTATTATTAGAATAATTTCATTTTTTGTTTATGGAAAATTTGTTGTTAATCCTTGGCAATACGATTTTGCGATGAAAGCTATTGATATAACAAAACTTGAACGAAAAAAAGAAAATACATATGAAATTAGTTTAAAATTTATAAATAATTCTTCATTATGTTTTACAATGAATAAATTTTGCGAAAATTGTAAAAAGAAAATTGATATTTTGAAATTGATTACTACATTCACATTTAATACATTTCAAGAAAAAAACAATCAGTTTTTAAAACTTGAAAATTGCGTACTAAAAATTGTGAAAAATTTAATGATAAAAGCAAATCTTCCATGCGTAACAAATATGAACACTACTTCTCATATATTTATAAACAAAGGTAATCAATATGATTATTACTTATAAATTTTCCAAATTTTCTTGTACGTTATTGAAAAAAGATCAATAAACATATATAATAATACAATTGATACTTGAATCACAATTTACCTTTTATGAATTGAATAATTTAAATTTATATTTATATGAACTAAATTACATTGAATATTATGACTCATTTTTTAATTTCATTTAATTTCGCTTCTTTTTACTTTTCATTTTATAAAAATTTAGCAATTAACCAAAAAACAGTGGTTATCGACAAACAATACGAAAATAAGAAAAATGTTAATGGAGTTTGGCTAACTACAGAAGCTTTTCTAAATCTTATATTAATGTGAAATTGTTATTTATTGTAATAAAAGTGTAAAATGTGTAGCTAATTCAAATGCCTAATAATTATTTATTTAACATAAGACCCTGGGCTCAAAATAATATTATGAATTTTTATTTTTCATAAGATATGAACATTTTTATCTTAACCACTATTTAATTTAACTTTACTTAAAACTTTTCACTTTACGAATAATATAGCAGCTAAACAAAACGAAGTAGTTATCGACAAAGACTTTGAAAATAAAAAAAGAGATTTTCTACAAAGTTTAAAACTAAATAAATCTGAAATAGAAACATTTGAGAGAAATACAATAAAATGTTTTGATAAAGATTTATGGTTTAAAGAACCTAGGAAACGTTTATCAGCTTATCATTTTTATCGTGCTTGTAAATTTAAACAAACATCAAGCAAAGAAGCATTCTTGAAAAGAACAATGTTCATACGTTTTGAAAAATCTGAAGCGACTGAAACTGAAGATACTCCGTAAGTACTATTATAAATGTATTTAATTTTTCATAGTTATTTTATCGTATATTAGCTTAAATAGGTTGCTGATTAGATAAAATTGTTCTTGTTATGCGACACAGATGTTATATCGAATATGGCAGAGATAATGAGCACAAAGCAAAAGAACTTTTTGAAAATATAATGGATTTACAGATTGATCCATGTGGTGTATTTATAGATGAAAAATTAAACTATTTAACAGCGAAACCAGATGGTTTGATTGGGAAAGATGGGATTGTAGAAATAAAATGTCCAGTTAATGCCCAAAATATGACTCCCAAACTTGCTATTGAACAAAAAGTGATAAAATATGTGCATTACGACGAAAATGGAGATCTTGTACTAAAACGTAGCTCTGATATTTTTTATCAAATACAAGGAGAACTTCATATCACAAAGAGGCATTATTGTTACTTAATTATTTGGACACCAAAAGGTATTAGAAAGACCAAAATTGGATTTTTCATTTTGTTTTCATAAATAGTATAAATTGAATATTCTACAAAATTTCTTCCTAAATTTTCTTAAAAATTTAATACTAAATTCAATATACTACTCTGAAATCCCCTCTTATCTATTGGGTGATGCTGATAATTTAAGTTGTATTTAATGTAACTTCAAAACTCTGAATTCTCTGGAAATTTATACTAATTTCACAGTTACTTCCCTGAAGTCTTTTCTGATCTGATGGGGGGTTCTGGTAACTGAACCCCTATTTAAAGTAACAAAATTCTTTTTTTACTATTTTTATACTTTGTTTGCATGAATAAGAATCATCTTGGTTTTATAACGTATAATAACTGTTAAATGAGAACTACTTGTATTTACTAGTTATTAGAAATATTTACACTTATCCAAAGAAGTATTTCTTTATAATTAATTTTAGTTCTTAAATTACTTTACATTTTTATTCAATAAATTATATGGAATTTAAATATATTATTATTTTAAAATACTATAATATTACATTTTTAGGTATAGCCTATTGTAAAATTCTTCAAGATGACAAATTTTGGAACGATAATGTGGAAGAAAAACTTATTGATTTTTATGAAAACATTATGCTACCCGAATTAATAAACCCTCAATTATTTAAGAATTTGAATATTGGGGGTATTTAACTAAATTATTGTAAATTAGTTTTAGTTAAGTAAAATTCATCATATTAATTTTCTTGTAAAAACAATTATGAGTGTAAACAAAAATAAATGATAAGCTTAAACAAATTAAAAATAAATTAGAATTGTTAAAGTGTTTTCATACATATTGACGTCTACAAATTTTATAAATACTGTAAAATAATATTAAAATTCAAATGATATTATATTATATTAAAATTATTAGTATTTTATTTTAATTATTTATTATGATATAAATACAAAAAATATAATAAGTGATTTTAACGAAATTTTGGGCTTTTTTCATAAATCTATTCTTAATAGTAATTATATAAGTTCCTGACCATAAATCAATCTAATAAAACCATTTTTAAATCTTCAAAAAAATTTTTTTTATTATATTTATATTTTTCTAAATTTATAAAATTAAGGAATTTATCAGTGTGCGTTGGTAGCGTTTGAAAAATCCCATGCTTATAGACAACGTACACTGCGCTACAAATTCGGTCCCATCGACAAAATCGTTGTTGTGCAAATTTCACGCGTATTTTCATATGACCAGTTGTAATCGTCGGATGTCATTAGGTGTAAACGAAAAATAACCCTTGATAGTTGTAGCCATCTCAACGTATTTTATCTTAAATTGTAACTGAACTGAAGTTGTTATTGTCAATGTTTATCAGCTGACAGTTGTTGACGGATGTTTGAAAGAGCAGTAATAGTTGCATGACTGTGACTAGTATGCACAAAAATAATACAATTTGTGAGGAATCAAACTGTTTTATACGATCTCATAACGTCATCGTACTTTCATTAATCCTGTTTGATGTGCAGACACACTGTTAATTTTTTGGCTCTTAGGTTGACCGTCCTTATCGAACAATGTTATTCGAATGTGTAACAGAAAGTAAACGACTTATCTGAGACACTAGATAATACGGTATCCTGGTGGTACGTTTAGAAAAAAATCGTGCAAAGTATGCAATAGACGTCCTCCGTGGTATGAACTAACAATTATATTGCAGTCAACTCATATGCATGTCACCTCTGTTATAGATAACGGGAAATCCGATGTCTGTTCCATTCTCGGAACCAAATACACGGGGTCGGAACCCTAGTATTCGACCGATTAATTGCACGTGTGTAAAATATATGAAGTAATCGCATTTGATTACGCTTCGCATAGTGTTGCGATTGGCTGTGAAAGAAATTACGTTTCGACTACCCAACTTTTTGTCACCGATTCCATTGCTATTTTCCTTAAGTAAACCAACCGTTGGCAACAATGGATCATCAAAATCTATTTGTTTTTGCACATTGTACTTGTACTCTTATCCCCTGTGAGCAGAATAAGTGTTTTTGTGAAAAAAAGTTTTCTTGAATGATATTTTAATTATATTTTTATCATTGGTCTTTACCATAGCTTAGAAACAAAACCCACAAACATTAAATCATGTTTAGGAGATTTTATTACAAAAGCCAATGAATATAGTAACAACTATAGTAGTTGGCTATTATAGTTGTTTTCGCTGCAATATGAAAGGTAGTAATCGAACAGAACGTCAAATTTGATTTCCAGGTTTTGTTAGTCTTCAATGAACAGATCAAAATTTTATTATTTTTATTATTTTTGTCAACTTTATTGCCTTGAACAATACTTTGCACGCCATTGCACTGTACCATATATTTAAAGTATGTACGAAAATGAATTCACCATTTTGTGAATCCTTTTAAAAATATTTATGGAAGTAATAATGTAAGCCATAATGTGCATAACTTACTACATATTTGTGATGATGTAGAAAAATTTTGTAACTTAGATAAATTTAGTTTCTAGTTTGAAATTTTCAAGACTCAAACAAAAAAGCTAATTTGTAAACCCAATCAGCCTTTGCGACAAGCAGCTATGAAATTACTTAAAGTTAACTTAATTATTAGTAGTGCTCTAGTTAATGACAAAACTAATAACATCTTAATTGTTCCTAATATACAAGACCCTGTATTAAAATTTTGTTGGCCTGCTAACAAAAAATGAAGACAGATGGATTAATTTTGTTTACTGAGGATATAAATGGTTATTGTAGCATAAAAAACTTATAAAATAATATAGTAAAAATTAAAAGTTGTAGGAAAAAAAATGTATACGATAAGCCATGCCATTTTCCTTTTTTTAAAAATATTTAAAGTAAAAAATCTTTCCCCATAAAAGTTTGGCCAATAACGAGTGTTGAGTTTAAATATTTGGTTTATAATATTAATAGTAAATGGTAGGCAGCGATTCTACTATTACATACTGAAAAAAAGAACAACTTTTTATGTAATATTACAATTAAGAATGATCTCCCAGTGGAGTAAAATTTAGTGTATTATTTTTTATCAATATTTTAAGTAATAGTGGTTTTTTAATCTATGGCGTATACAATAGGTATAACTATTTTGTATTTATTTTAATGCATGATTTTATTAAATAAAAATTTATAAATTATTGTACTTTATTAAAAAATTTCATTACAATAATGTACACTAAAAAAATGTAAATATTTTTAATAGTTATAACAAATAAAAATGTATTAATTTAAACATTTAAATTTTTAAATGACAAATAAATAAATAATATATATAAAAGCAGTTAAATAATGACTAACAATTAAGTACTCATTAAGTACTTAATGTAGTCTTGAGAAATAGCTCGTATGAATTGAATCCATTATTGTCAAATGCGAGGACAATCATCAATAATCAAGTGGGGTAATCGCAAGAGCGATAATAATATAACGCTGTGTAAAAGTGCACAATTTGCAATGGCGAGACGTTCATTAACGATTAAATTATGCGTTTACACGAGAAGAACCATTTAACAAATGCTAAAGTATTATGACAAACGGAATAATAATATGCTATGTCAAAATGTAGCATTAAGAGATGGTCAAAACGCAAAACCTTTTAAAATCCGATAGCGTTATTGTTAGCGATCTAGTAACCAAATAAATATAAAATTTATTGAAATTTCCGTTAATAGATATGTATTCAATAATAGCAATATAACAGTTTTATAAATTATAAAAGGTAATAGAAAATTTAGAACATTCATGTATTTGTTGAGAAATAGATATATCTGTATACATTTTAAATAATACAACAATTTAAGAAAGCTATAACACATTCATAAATATTAAAAAATTATAAACTAATAGAAAATTCGTAATTCGTGTTTATTTCTTATTAGATACTCAGACTATATTTTATATAGTCAGTGCTAGATACAAAAATAAAATCAATATATGCTTTTAACGTACTTAAAACTAAAAATTATTTTAAAAAATAATAACGCAAAATATTCGTCGGATCAAAAGTTACTACAAATGTTAAAACCCTATAAATGTAATAATTATTAAATACATAACAAATCATAATATTATTTACATAAAACTTAAAAATAATTCTCTTATTGCTGATAAAATTCAAATACAGTAAATATAAAAAGTTTAAGGTTATTAGGAAAAAACACTAATGACGGTTGGATAAAATTAGAATTAATCGGTATTTACTAGTATTGTACTATTTTAAATGATCAGTAAAAAGGCAATATATGATAATATACAATTACTTGCAAGGTTAATAATAAATACACCCCGATTATTGTATTATAATACAACTTTTTATAATAACAGTAAAAAAATCGGACTTAAAATAAAACTAATACTAATAAATCCGATATGACATATATCATCCTATATTTAATATCGATATTTTGTAGGCTGTGCTAGAAATTATTATATTATGATTATATAAATTAAACAATTTTTTGTCATTATTTCTATGGAACATACTATACGTTATACTGTAAAAGTATAAAAATAATTGGGAGATTATCGTTTTCGCCAAACTGATCTTTTACCTGTCTATCTACTAAAAAATTTGAGAACCATTTAGTTTTATCCACGGTTCACCACGAGCCAGTAGCGGTTTTAGCCCCGTTTCGCTGCGCTATTGTGTTGGTTAGATCGGGCTCTACGGGACTACAAAACGTCGACACGAGCGCAATTTCCCTAGTTCGGGGAATCGGGCGCGTCCTCAGGTTGCGGATGGAGGAACGGCCTGCAGATATGCAGGTTAGCCGCGAAATAAACAGTCCATTAATTTGGACTGACGAATAAGCGGTCGCGAACATCAAGCCCCTCATTCGCTCGTTAACCCTGCAGATATGTAGGGTAGCCGTGATATAAGCCACTCCTAGAATGGACGAATAAGCGATAGCGTTCGAGGGAAACTGTATAATAGGTGGGTGGGCCCGATAGCCTGGTAAGGTGACCAACTAGGTGAAGGCTACACCGAAAACAAATCCTCTGACGATAGGTAAAACGCAAGTTAGAATTTACCGTAAAAACCAAATATGGAAGGTCACCATGTAAAAAAAACAGTTACCGCTTCAGGAATTTCGGAGACTCCAGAGCCGGCTGGGAAGAGTGCCGCTGCAGGCTTGACCCGGTCGTCATCCAGCGACTGCGCAAAAACCGTTGGACTGTTGAGACAGGGTCCAGGGGACGTTCGCGTCCAATTTATTGCTGGAGGATGTGGGGAGCAGGCATCCTCCGGTGGCCTTAGTGCCACCGAGGTTACTGCTGGTGGGGTTGTTATTATTACCGAATAAATAGTGGAGAATTGGGTAGACATTAGGGATTGTTTTTGTAACGATATCTCTCTTACGATGTCTGAATTGACGTGCTGGAAGGAACTCCAATGGAGAATGATGGTTTTTTTGAGTATTACCTCCCTTACGGGAAGTTTCAGGCCCTAGAGAGTTTCCAGAGTTCTGTCGCCACTATCCTGGGGATGATGGCGAGCGACTTGGCGAATGAAGGAAAGTACTCCCTGGAGGAGAAAATGGCGTATGATCCGTTTCAAGGGGTAGAGAACGAAGAAGAGAGGCTATCTATTATGTCAAGGTGCTTCTCTTCCCTCCGAAACGAGAGCCCGACGGATCGCGACATTAAAGTGGCAAAGCTCGTCGGCAGGGAACTGCTGTCTTGCCACAAGGCGGGTCCCATCATGGAATCATGGAGAAGGATCATCAGAACGCCGTCGATGCGTTCGAGCACGAATAGAGACGCGGGAGCGGCAACCGAAGAGAAGGAAGCGGACCCGCTGTCTGATGAAGACGAAGTCATGA